TTCATTTTTTTACTCCACATATTAAAATCACATCTTCCATGAAATTGTGGAACTTCAAACTTAGCAGATGCCATATTTGAATTAACAAGACAATACACAAATAGGTGTTCAAGATATTAGTAAGGCACAGTCGGAGACTCACAGCAATTACAACAGCTTAAAATCATAGTAGTACACTTAGTAATACAAGATTCCACAGTTTCAATCACAATCAAGGAAGCACAATTAAAAGACCACCAACAGAGATCACAAAGTCTATGTTTTGTAGACCTCTCCTGCAAGATCCTCCAGATACACACCTGTACTGGATTTATCTCAAATTCCCAAGACCTCATATGAGTCTTTGGACAAAGATTAGTCTCCAACGGGTATTGGTGTATGGCAGATCAAGGGAAAAATCGAGAAACCATAATTCGAAAAAGAAACTTTTCAAAAAATTAGAAAGATCTTACCCAACGAGTTTCAAGAAACCCAATATCTTTAAGACTTACTTAACAGCTGTTCCAAAAAATTTGTGATCTGTAACATATCGAACTTTTTCTGCAAAGATCTAGGTATCTTATTCTTCGTTGAGGCTCTGATACCACTGAAAATGCCCAAACACATGATATTAAAATAAGATTCCAACAATATCAACAAGTCAAAAATAAACTTTACAGAAAAGTAGAGATCGAACACAAAGAATTGTTTCGGCCTAAGCCCAGAGGTTCGGAGACCAAATCTAATGCCTATATCCCTCGTGAGCATCCAAATAATGGATGTTTGTTCGGTTGCACTAATAAACCCAAAATGGCGCCAAGTTACAAATAGTTCTTCCAAATACGATAGAAAGGTACAGAACACTTATCTCTTTCACATTGAACTGCAGATCTAAAGGGAATCACAAAAGAAACCCCACAACAGCCGACTGAAATAGCGATTACAAGAAAACCCTTCTTCTCACAACAATCGCTTAAATAACAAATTACAGAGGCTAATATGATCTAAGTTTACAAGTTTATCATGAGAGATAAGAACACGAATGACAAACCCTAATCTACAAGAAAATGGAACTCTTAGAAGAACCTAGAAGACGAAGAACTCAAAAGGCAGAACCAAGTAAAATATCTTCCACCGTACACGTTTATATTATTATGTGCACCATTAAGAAAAATAGGTTCAACAGAAACACGATTTTAAGCCAATTTTGGGAGTACATCATAGATCAAATGTTCGAGCCTGACACTCTTTGTGCTAAAAAATAAATGATCCTTGTGATTTGCAAGTTAAAAATGATGGTTACTTATTGATTTTCTTAAGTTTCGGCCCCTTGAAACTCCTAGATCCGACCGTGTCCCCACTCCGGGTTGACTTCACTTTTGACACATCAAAGATAATCCGTTGCGGCGTCGCTATACTCACGACTCCCACCGTAACACGCACCGCCGTGAGTAGTATAATTGTACTAAATTTTGCTCCTACGGTTTACTTATATATATATTCATATGCGTATATTGTACGACAGAAAAAATGCAGAAGAGTTTCACTCTCGTACATACAGTAGCAACCGCAGGCGTCTTCTCGGCTGTCTCCTTCTGGTAATTTTTCCTTTCAAGACTCTATTATGAAATTTCATCTATTTTTGTCCACGAATTTTCGGTGATTTATTTATTTTTTTGATTTCTGGTGATGTGTAAAGATATAAGCTGCTGTTTGATTTCAGGTATGGATTCATGTTCGGTAGAGAGTCTGCACGCAAGGAGCTCGGTGATTTAATCGAGAGCCTCCGCCGTACCAATTCTGATCCTGCTTCGTCATCTCCTCCGCCACAACATTCCTAAAACGAAGGTATAGAAGGAACGCTTACATCTGATCACACAAATTATCAATTTTGTTATAATGTACATATTGTAAAAAAAAGGATTTAGCTTACTAGATGCATTCCAAATGATTTTAAGAATTCCCATCAAAGAAAAATATTTTTAGAATGAAACTATATGCATTCTTGATTTTGATAACTGGGGATATTAGAATACAAGATTAAAGAGTGAATGTGGTCGAGTTGAGGTTGTTCGATTTTTAGGTTTAATGAATGGTGGTTAGAGGGCTTCTGAAATGGAAAATGTCAATTTTTAGTCAATGATTTATCTTTGTTAACCTAAGCATAGGCTAATTGAATTAACAAGCCCATAACAACATATCTTAGATTATGAATTCTTAGATTTTTATTCTGCTTTATCCCATCCATGAACCAAACATGGCCTAAAGAGATTCATTAATCGATAGGATTTTTAAAATCAGCAAGTGAACACGATGGTTTGATCTCTTGTTTGTAGGAAGACTAAAAATTAAAATAAAACCTCTTGTGATGGGAAATAATTTATATCACAAATTTGAATGGTGAATTCCGTACTACTTTCTAATACTCTCAAATTTATCTGATTCTGAATAGCTTTTGCACAGGTTCAAGCTTTGCCGTTTAATTTTCAATTCTCAACTTTAGAATTTCAAATCACATTTTTTAGTCTGAATCGGTGTTTGCAGGTGCCAAGAATGGAGTTTCTAGTAAGCCGGGATAAACAAGCTCCTAGATTTTCATGAAGCTTGTCCAATACCATAGCTTAAGGTACTTACATCTGTGTCCTGTGCTCTCTGTAGAGGTGACTGAAAAGTGGAACCACAGTCTTCTTTTGTTAGCTTTGTATCAGAATAATTAAATGTTTACATGTTAATTAAATACGCTAGTTCTATATCATGTGATTTGCTGGATAGAAAAATATTTTGATGGTTGATGGATGCTACTCTTTTCTCATTTTCAGCCAGACTGTAACACATGCTCATTTTCTGTAAACAATGCCACTTAAAAGGACGTAGCATCTTTGCTATTCATGCTGTTAGTGGATTATTCATTATCTTGTATGGATCAATTTAATCATGATTTCAGTTTCTGTTGATGTTACCAAGAAGTTAAATAGAGATTGGAAAATGTACATGAGTGTTTATCATGAATGTTACCCTGCCATTTAAATATTGAACTCTCATATAAGCTGTATATGTATGTTCACATGCTTTTTCCTCTTGATGTGGAAATAGACATTAGATGACCTTGATACGGGTAATATAACCAGTCTTGTTTCTGGAAAAGAATCGATACTTGGATGCATTCATTTGACATAGCTAGTATAGATACATCTTGTTCCACATTCACATCTGCTTCTCTGCTAGAAGTCGAGTACATTGATTGGCCCACTTACAAGTACCTCCAAAATGCAACAGTATGGCTTATTGAAGACTGAAAATCTTATAATGGGATGCCACTGAAAGCTAGGAAAGCAAAAATAGGAAACAAGAAGGTAGTGGAAAGCACATTATAGAGTCATTAACAATTAGTTGTGAATAATGATGCACTAACCTCCTGGTGAAAAGTTGTGAATAACGACGCATTAACATCCTGGGAAGAGATTTGAATAGCTGTAAATTGACTCTCCTCTTATTGTATATGAAGAATGTGAATTTTATGATTTCAATGTCTTAGACTTTGCTGAAGTGAATCAACGAATTTTTACAATATATATTCTTTTACAGCTTACTTCTTTGTGCCTGTATTTTAGTTTTTGACCTTTTGTTCGCTCACTGATAGAGCTTGTGTAGCACAACCACTCCTCCTAGGGCATCATGCAGCATGTCTGACATATAATGGACACTCTCAGCTGAAATAGAAAAGTTAGAATAGGAAATATGGAAATGAACATGTACCCTCCTATCCCTACTCAAACAGTTACTTTGCAGGCATGTAATTTTATGTTAGAAAAGTAACCCAGCAAATCTATCAAAATCTGATAGAAGTTAAAAGAAAAAACCACACCAAACATGGGCTTAGTGTGACCCCTTCTATTATTCTTATTACTGTCGAATACCCTTTTGGTTACCTTTTACAGAGTTGCTCAACTACTGATCTTGGTTTACTCAGTCATCTGGTAAACCCTAGAGGTCAGAAGATTGATGATCGTCTTCATTCGATATTCTTTGGTTTGTTTAATTGAGATACCGTCGATACGTCTAATAAAGATTAACAAGAACATTTCTTCTCTGACTGTTTAGGACACTACAGCACTTGTTCATTTAAATTGGATGGGCTAATTACCGTGTATCATCTAAAATTCTGGAAATGCTATTGTGGATTGTAAGTAAAAAGGCTATCTCATAGGAAGGAAGGTTGCATCTCTTTCAAGTTATGATGAATGGGAGGCTGAAGATTCTTTAGTCAAGTCTTAGCTAATAAATTCCATGACTAACAACACGATGTCGCATTTTGTTCAGTGGCACGGCTAAAGAAGTTTGTGATACAGGTACTCTTCACAAATATATGAATTGATGAAGTCATTCCAATTGCGTCAAGATGGCCTCTTTCTGAATACTACAATGAACTTAACTCCACATTCATGGAACTTGATTATAGAGGCCTAATGATATGACTTGTACAATCGATATTGGGAAACACAGATTGCATATTGATGAGGATTGAGTATATATGTTTCTTGCAGTTCTTGAATACAATTTGAATTAAGTTAATAATCGTGTTTGGGCTACATCTCCTCTCCTAAGTCTGGAAGAGACCTACATATCATGGTTTAACAAGGCGGCAGTGAGGCGCGCCTCATTGTGAGGCGTGTGTAGTATGCCTCGAGACGGTATATTAGAGGCTAAAAATATGAGGTTCACGTCTCTAAAAGAGAG